ATTAGTTAATCATTGTATTCAGCAGTTCTAAAGTCTTTAAAAGTTGTTGTTGACAAGGGTTTCTAAAGCTCTCTTGAACCCCATCCCTTTAGGATAACTGGCCTAGCTCAGCTCCATGGCCCCCCTGTCCCTCTGCTAGAGCCACTCAATACCATCCCTGACTTGCCACCAATCAATTCTGGGGCAGGGAAGATAGAGGGGCTATATATAGCTTAGAAGCTTTCCTGTTTAGTCTTCCTTTGACTTGGAACCTGGGGATTAACTGGATTCTTACTTTATATTCTTGTTCCACTGGATTCTTTCTACCTAGTTGCCTGAGGATTGGATGCAGCCCTGCTCTCCCCACCCACTCCTTCTAGGGATGGGAGTCTTCTCCCTGCCCACCCCACCCCTCTAGTTTTCACGGCTGTATTCTGGCTTCCATACCTCTCTCAGGCCCCTTACAAGCCACCTGTCTTGAACCTCTTGCTAGTTAGTTAACCTGTGGTTAGACACTTTCAATATTCCACCTCGCTCTTCTACTGGAGATTGGGGATGGGTGGGAGAAACCCTTCCAGAGACCTGGTAGAGTCTCTCTGGTGCAGCCTCTTTCTTATCCAGTGAGTGGGTTCCTGGCCAACTACCCATTGACTTGCTGGCATCTTCTAGAGGGGAGATTGTAAATGTCTGGGTTATTTGTACTCCTTGGACTTCACAATTTTACTTTTGGAAACAGAAGAAGGGAAGTTTAGTCACTTAAAAAAAAGTATTCTCTGCTATTTACTATAGGATTTTTGTAATTTCAAGGCTCCCTAAATTCGTTTTAAATGATTTGCATTAGAGATTAGACATCCCTTTCAGGAAGTACTCTACTGCCTAAAGGGGACTATGCCTTTAGGAATCTGAGAGTTAGCCACCAGTAGTGGAAGGGACCTGATATCATTCACCCTCAATCAAGGAAAGTCTAAAATTGAATTATGGCAAAATGTGGTTGCCCATAGAATTCAATTAAGCTCACATTAATCTTTTTTTTTTCCCTTCTCTGAACTGACAGGGACTGGAAACCTCTGTAAACAGCAGTTTTTAAAATTCTATTTGTTGTTTACTTGCAGTCTATATCTAACAAGATCCCTTTGTCTCATCAACACTTAGTATTCCCATTGGAGAACCACATTTGTAGACCCCATCATGTGCTTCCTGACTGTTTCCCAGTCTGACTTTGGCTTCCCAGCCTGTTGTGTCTGTCAGCTGCTAATCCACCAGCTGAACAATTTGGCTGAGATACCTTCGAATAGCTGGGCCTGAGGCACCTGCCTGTGTTTCCTGTGATGCCCCAAACTGCTATGACTGAAGAGAATAAGCTCACGAATCCTACTATTCAATCCAACTGGCACTGGGGATACAAATGCAAAATGAAAAACCACTATCTGCCCTCTAGAGGCTTATGTTTTACTGGGGAGTGAGATACAAGAGGGAAACAGATGCACACGATAATTGGGAGGAGGAGAAATCAAGCGCTAACAAATAAAGGAAACTGAACAGCTTGCCTCGAGATGGCATAGAAATCGAACTGTCAAAGAGACCAGAGATTTTCAGAGGGTGCGGAGGGAAGGCATTCCGGGAGGGAGGGACCGATTGCGCAAAGACGAAGAAGCAAGAGATTCAGGGCTGAGTTGGGGGAGCCACAAGTAGGCCAAGTAGAAAAGTAGAAATCACTTGCTCTGAAATGAGAGGCTTGTGACCGCGCTGAAGCCCCGATAGTTTGGAACTCTGACTTGAGGACCCAGTGCTCTGCTCCGTAGGGCATCCCTAACTGGCCTGCGGTGCGTTTGCTCCTGGCTATGTGTTAGTTTGTTACTTCTATCGATTTCTGCGTTCCCTCAGAAATGTTACTGTCCCCGGGAGTTTGCTTAGATGGGTTGGCAAGGGACCCTTGTAGCTGTAGAGACCTGAGGAGGGATAGGTGCTAGCTTTTTCCTTTCTGTATCTGCTCTTTTGGATATCCTCAACTCAGTCCTAGTTCCATGAATGAGTAATTTAGCAAGGCTTTCTGTGGATCTGTCCACTGAGAGGACTCCTAATTAGCTTACTGGCTTGGGTTTTGCACTGTGCTATTGCAAAGGAATTTTGGGGGGGATGGGGGAGGGGGGACTAACTATTGCCCCATCTCTCTTCACATTCGTTTTGTCTCCAAACTCTATCCTTTTAACTCCTCTCCTAATGTCTCCTCTTTTGCTTTTTCAGCTTTCAAAGAAATCACGCCTTACTCTCTTCTCCCGGATCCAATGTGATTTTCGGTTTTGAAAACACTGGAAATCAGTAGGAACCAGGACAATCAGTGCTTTGCCTTCGAGGTGGTTCAGACAATACTGGGGCGCAGCTGGCATTTGGGTTTTCTAGCGTCCTGTTCTTGTAAGAGGGCAAGAAATTCCTTTCTCGGTCTGCGAGTCAGATCTCGGTGCAAGAATCTCGTACGTCTATGAGTGCGAGCAGTCGGGAAGCTCGGGGATCAGATCTCACTGTCTCGTGCCCCTAAGTGGCGCCAGATCCGAACCGCTGCAAAGGTAAGAGAAGAGGAAGATGAATGTGTTGGAATAGCAAGAAAACTTTTTGCTGAGCAGAGCGGGCTGCGGTTCTTCGCTGTGGGTCTCCAGAGGAGAGGCTGAGCCCTGCGGAGCAAACTGAAGACTCGTGCTCTCGAAATACGCTGCCAAGGCTCCGGGTGGCCCGGGACAGCGGGTTAGGTGTGAGCTCGGTGGGACGCCCGGACGAGACAGACAAAGGGTCCTTCACCCGGAGCAGGGGCTGGGAAGCTTCGACGACAAGAGGGCTGGGGGAGTCACCACCACCACTTTTGCTCACCCTAACTTTGGTTACAGTAAGGGTTTCCTACTGATCATCACCATCTTATTCTCCATCACTCCCCTTTTAGCCTTCCATCCCAGGCGGGTTGTTCTTTTTGAATGAATGACCCAAGTGACCGGGCCCAATCAGCGCCTCCGCCTTATTAATATGCATAAGGGCCATGGCCAATGGCCGGGCGAGGAGGCTGTTTTAAACGGCGGAGCCCACTAGCCAATCAGGCGGCTCTCGTGGAGTCAGCTAGCGCGAGGTTGGGGGAGTGCTTAGCCGAGCGTCGTGCCCTGCGCTGCCCAGACTAGCGAACAATACAGGTACGTTCTACACAGCCCGCTCCCGCCGCCGCCGCCGCCGCCACCACCAACACCACCACCATCACCACCGTCACCGCCGTCACCGCCGCTGCCGCCGCCTCCCAGCCCCGCTGCTTCTGCACAACTTTCCGGCCGGCGCTGCATCGATCCCCCCTCCCTTTCCCTGCCCCCTCCCCCCTTCCTTTGCCCTCTCTTTTCCTTTTTTCTCCTCTCCGTTTCTTTTCCACGCCGCTTTGCCACTTTCCTCCCTTCCCCTCCTCAGCTCTCCTTTCTGCCTTTCTTCACTGACCGGCAAGGGGAAGAAATCCAGGTGTTTAAACTTTTAAAATTATTATTCCTATTTTCCGGGCTTCTCCTTGCAGCTTCTTCCTGTCCCCCCCCTTCTCCTGTCCCCCGCCCTTGGCAGATGCCCCGGCAGTCCGAGGCGATTTCTAGGGAAAGCTCTGCGATCCAGCTGTTTTCCGACAGCTGTAGCAGCGGTTTTCTTTAGCGCCCCGGGCTCCTAGGGTTTGCCAGCACAGGACAGGCAGCTTCTCCGGGAGGGAAGGTTCGGAGCCTAGCTTTGCGGAGTGTTCTCTAACAGGCTCGGTTTGGGGGTACGCGGGGAGGAGGGGGTGTCGATGCAGTTTTCACGCCGCCCCCCTCCCCTTTCCCCTCTGGTCAATGCGGGATAGAGTAGCGTTTGGGAGTTATTTTTCTGCCTCTAGTAATATGGCTGATGCAGTCCCTTACACCGCGACTAACTCTTCGCATGCCTTCTCTTTTTCGGGGGGTAGGACGAGCTGCCCCGGGTCTGCGAACCGGAGTCGGGGCGCCGCGCTGCCCCCAGACCTTCCCCCGGGGCGCAGTGTGGACAGCTTTGTATGGCCACCCCAGGTTGGGGTTGGGGCGCTCTGTCCCCAGGCGGGGCGGTCGGCTCGCGGGCGGAGGAAACTTAACTGTTTGCTCCAGCCAGCCGTGCGCAGTACTGGGGGCTTGGGGTGGGGGTGGGGGGTGGCGGGGAACTCTGCCGAGCCTTCTGCATTAACATGGCTGTCGCTACCGGAGCATCTGACAGGCTAAAGCTTGCGCGCTGTCGGGGCGAGTGGGGGGGGGAATGGGGACAGCCGGGGGGGGGTGCCCTCTTCCTGAGCCCGGGTTCATCCCCCCATAAGGAGAGCTCCCCCAGGCACACGCAGCTTCGCCTCCTCTTTCTCGCCTCTTCCCTCGTCCTTCTGGCCAGGTGGGAAGCCCTGAGCCCCCCGGTGGCCCCTCCGAGAGGTCCCCCCTTGCGCTCTCTTCTTGTGCTGTTGGGCATTAACATGGCTGGCGTTGGGAGAAAGCAGTCAGCAATAGGTGGGGAGTGTAGTGGCTCGCTGTCTGTGTGTAGATGTGTGCAGGGCTAGAGGGGGAGAAAAGACCTTCCAGCGGCCCGAAGGGGCCCCTATGTTTTCTCTCCCCACCCTGAAGCCCTTTCTCTGCTGGCCTTGAGCCTTTGGGGAGTCTTTGGGGGGCGATCAGGGGGCGATTTTCACTTTTTTTCTCCCTTCCCCCTGGCGCGGAAGAGTGTAATGGCTGAACAGGAGTCTTTGTTATACAGAGTATTGCGCTAGGCAGGAGGGGAGGGGGGCACCCTGCAAACCAGCGTCTGTCCCTGGAGCCCCTCATCCCCACTGCAGCAAACCCACCCAGGGGGCTGGAGGGGCGCCTCCTCTGGGGTCCTGGCGCCTGGGGGGCCCCCAGGGTGTTGGGGATCCCCAACGCTGGCGCCCCGGAGCCAGCCACCGGCCACTGGGGGTGCATGCTTGTGGCTTTGTTAGGAATAGCAGCCTCTGCTGCCTGAGTCTGAGCCTTGCACAGGCAGAGAAGCCATTTTAGCGAATGGAGCTGGAGCTGCTGCTGCTGCTGCTGCTGCTGGGGCCAGAACAGCAGCTCCCACTTCTCTCCATTCCTCAATAGCACTGAGCCTCTCTACTTCCTCAGTAAGAGCATCGGGCGAGAGCTGGCACCCGGCCCCCTTTTCAGGCGTCCTTGCTTGGGGTAAGAACACCCCAGTAGAGTAGAGGGAAGGATTTCAGGGGGACTTTCTTTCATCAAGGAGCATTTCACAAAATGGAAGATGAATTATTGGTGTCTTAGTGACCTGTTGTTTTTTTTTCTTTCTTGTTATCTCTTTTTTTCCTTTTTTCCCCTCCAAGTAGAGTTTACCGTTACTGGGTCAGGGCACATCCAGCCAGGGGAGCAGGCAGCCCCCAGCTGTTGCGGGGGGACCCACAAAGGCCCCCCCCATATTGTGCACTAATGGGAATTTTTATATGACCACCTGGGAGGGTAGGAGAGATAGATTAGGATTAGAGTTGAAGGGAGGGGTGGGTCACTACTTTTTTTAAAGGAAACTTTGAAGAAGGAATGAGCTCGAAAAATGTATATTTAATGGAGAGGCATAATGGAAAAGGAGGTGGGGGGGTGGCTCGGCAAACCAGCATTTTAAATAACTTTTCTCCCTTTAGATCAAGTGACTAACTTCGAAGCTTCTCTTATAATGTAAGGGATACTTGGGGGCTTTTACAAATAAGTTTTCTTGTAGAGAATTTTTTAAAATATGAAATGCTTTTTGGCATTAATTTAAAACCTTGCTTTCCTCTGGACCCTTTAGAAGGGGGGGAGGGGGTTGTTTTTAGAAGTTTTATTTATTCATTTATTTATTTTTGGTCTAAAGCCCAAATGGATGCTAATTTTGACCTATCTGTTAATAAGCTAGGGAGGAGATTTTTGAAGTCGAGTCAGTTTACCAAGGTGGATGATGCCACAAACACCCACCGTTTTTCTCGTTCACCAATCTTTAGAAACTTTCCGTCCTGAGTAGCAGCTCAGACTATCACAGTCCATGTCAGCAGTGATTTTCAGGTTCCCCATTCTAGCCCAACTGTTCCAGTGACTGGCTGCTGGGGTCATCCTATTTTCAGGATTGCTGCCTTCTCTTGGAATTGTTTTCTTCTTGGCAACTGAAAGAACTGACTCGCCTTTTTTGGTGGGTGTCTGTTATTTCTCCTTCCTCAGCAATGATGCATGTTTTAAAATTTATCTTTTCCAGAGTTCACCATGGCTAAAGGTGACCCCAAGAAACCGAAGGGCAAGATGTCTGCTTACGCCTTCTTTGTGCAAACTTGCCGGGAAGAGCATAAGAAGAAGAATCCAGAGGTTCCTGTCAACTTTGCAGAGTTTTCTAAAAAGTGCTCGGAGAGGTGGAAGGTACCTTTTTACATTGTTTTCCTTTAAGGCATTTAAAGAAAAAAATTTTTTAAACCAGACCTGTGTTTTCATGGTATATACTCTAGGTATGGAAACTCCCTGCACAGATACAGATAAGTTAACTCATCTGTCATTTTGTGAGGTGCCTGGGCCACTGAGGTTAGTGACTTGACCTGGAGCACTCTGCTTTAGAGGCAGGAATTGAAACAGAGTCTTCTGGACCCCAAGGCTAGGCATCTCTGTTATACTTCATTGAGGTTAGTTCTAGCTAAGAGTACATTGGGTTGCTTTAATAAATAATTTTTGCCTGCCTGACTAGGAGACTTGAAATTGACAAGCTGAGCCCCAGTGTGTAATAGATACCATCAGGAAACGTTGTTGATGGGGCCATTGGAATATTTAATCCACTCCCCCAGGTCTGTACTTCCCTTCTGCAACTGCTCCCTAGAAGGAAGAGGTTGGTGTCATATAAAGGAGCACTAAATTTGGGGTCACAAAATCTGGGTTCCAATCTTGCCATTTAGCTATAGATAATCTTGGACAAGTCATTTCTATTCCTTCTTCTCTTTCTCCCTCTATAAAATTAGGACTGTGACTAGAATACTTTGAAGGGTCCTTCCAATTCTAAATCTGTGATTTCAGCCCCTCAATTTTTTTTTTTTTTTGGCCTGGTATCAGAGACTTTCACGTTTAACCTCATCAGTTTTGTCTTTCTTTGTATCTCCAGTGATTAGCACAATCCTGGCACATAGTAAATGCTTAATGAATGCTGTTTGACTGATTAATGAATCGCCTTGGAATGGTTGTCTGGCTTTTTGAACCTGTCTCATTTCTTCTTCTTAGACTATGTCGGGGAAAGAGAAATCCAAGTTTGATGAGATGGCAAAAGCTGATAAGGTACGATATGATAGAGAAATGAAAGACTACGGACCAGCGAAAGGTGGCAAAAAGAAGAAGGATCCTAATGCACCTAAACGGCCACCGTAAGTCACTTTGGCCTTCCTGCCCTACGTTCACCAGAATTCTTAGGGTGGTTTTTTTTCCTGCTTCAATTCCATTTTATTAATGGATGATAAATGTTCACAGATCATAGGTTTAGAGCTCAAAGGAATTTAGGGGGTCATCTACCTTTTCCAACCCCGTATCTTTTCCCTTACAAATGAGGAAACTGAGACTCAGTGACTTGCCTGTGCTCACATAGCTAGTGAGTCTCAGAACTTCAACCCAGGTCTTTCTGATTCCAAATTCAGTGCTGTATCCATTATACCACACTGTTCACAATGAACTTTGAAGACCTATTTGTTTTCCTTCTTATACTTAAAAAAAATAAAGTCTGACTTCAGTTTTAGGGCCTGTAGTGGGCTGCCTGAAGCCCAGGTGAGTAGCTCAGTACTTTGGTTTGAGAGCCCTGGATTTAGAAGTCATGACCTGAGGTTTAGATAGCTCCTTGAGAGCAAAACTTTTTTTTTTTGTGTCTTTCACTCCCCTGCCACATAATAGGTCCTCAGACTCTTAGTACATTATTTAGTACCTCTGTAAACTCAGGCAAGTCACTGTTCCTCTCTGGACTTCTTAATTTTTCCATCTGTGAAATGAGGAGATTGGACTGTTGATCTTCGCAACTTTAAATCTGTGATTTTACAGAGATGGCTATTACTTAAGCCAACTCTTCTAGATTTTTATTGTTATCTTTTTACATTACCTTGCTTTTCTCCCTAGATCTTCCCCCTCCCAGGAAGCTATTTTTCATATTGAAACCATGAAATCATATTAAAGAATCAAAAGAAACATTTTTTTAAAAGAGAGAAAAATTCAGTAAAACTGAGGACCCCTTTCCCCCCCAACTCTCACCTCTGCAAAGGAGGTGTAGGGTATATGTCTTCTCATTCATGAGCCAATATTAGAGAAAGTTATACTAAGCCATTTACAAAGTTAACAAAGCGAACATTCTATGGGATTTTTTTTTTCTGGGGAACAAACTGGTGGAAAGAACCTTTTGAGAATTCTGGCACAACTTGAAGTGTTTTGGTTTTCATGCATATCTCTTGCTCACCCTGATACCTTCATGAATCCTGTGAATTGAATTATGGGGGTCCAAGAGCTCTGCAACCCAGGATGTTTTTTTGTTTTTGTTTTGTTTTTAAGGCTCAGGCTTTCATGAATGCTCATCTAAACACTAAACACGCTGACTTTTTCTCCAAGGTCTGGCTTCTTCCTGTTCTGTTCAGAATTTCGTCCCAAGATCAAGTCTACAAACCCTGGCATATCCATTGGGGATGTGGCAAAGAAGCTTGGTGAAATGTGGAACAATCTGAGTGACAATGAGAAGCAACCTTATAATAATAAGGCAGCCAAACTGAAGGAGAAATATGAGAAGGTAAGAAGCTACACGTGCGGGCCCAGGGAGAGCTTGGGCTACTCGGGTGTGGAGAAGGGCTGGCCTCGGAGTCAGGAAGACCTGGGTTCAAGTCCTGCCTGACACATTCTAGCTGGGTGATTCTGGGTCAGTCACCTGATCTCAGCGCCCTCCCAGGCAACTCTGAGACTAGGACCTACAGGTAAGTTGCCAGTCTTCATCATCTATGGAGGAAATGCCCTGTACCTGTGACATCACAGGTCAGGGCCAAAAAAAAGAGAAAGAAAAAAAAATTCTGCCAAGAAACTTCGGACGGAAGCTCCTTCAATATGTGAGAAGAGTTCCCTTGCCATAGGTCTTACCTGAACAGTGCCAGAGTCTTCACTGGTTATTGTGTAAATGGGCTTTTGTGTGTTTATGAGCAAATAGTTGAGGGCTGATCATAGATCTTTTTTTTTCTTTTTCAATTAAAAAAAGAAACGCCTAAATGTTTCACTTCCAAAAAAAAAAATCACTGCCACTTCCCAGTGACTCTCCTCTGTCCCCTTCTCCAAACCTCATAGAACCTCCAAAACATTGGGCAAGTCTGATAACGTACACTGTATCCTCCATCTTTCTGCTGATAGGAGGGAAGCAGTCTTTTGATAGAATCTGGGACAAAATTGGGCATTTTGGGGGCATTTTCTTGGTCTACCTTAGTAGCTTGGTGTAATGGATAGGGCACTGGACTGGGAGTCAGGAAGACCGGAGTCAAATCCAACCTTAGACACTTACTGGCTGTGTGACCCTGGGCAAGTCAGTTAATCTCTGTGTCTCGGTTTCCTCATCTGTAAAATGAGGGGTGTTGGATTGTGGACCTTTAAGGTTCCTTCAGCTCTTAAATATGTGATCCTGTCTCTTGCCTTCTATCAAATAGTTCACTGAAGCCACAGTCACTACATGGTTGACCTCATAAGATCTTTAAAGGAAACTTGTATTTAGATTTTGTGGGATTCCTTCCTCCTTCCTTTACCCCTCCCCTTTTTTGTAAATGCTGTATAGCCAGGGATTTACTAGGTACACTAGCTGTTCACACACCTGGTGAGCGGCTTTGGTTTTGCCGTGTTCTGAAAAAGAGATCAAGTATATTTTAATATTTGTAAGCTCCCTACAGTTAAAATAGAAATCTGGGCAAATAAAAAAATTGAAAGGCTAAATGAAATTCATAGCTACAGACAGTGCCATGAACAGGCGGAGAGATCAAAGCAAGTATGGGGTGAGGGTGGGGGTGCTTATACCCAAAGATTGACCGCAGCAACCCATGGAGGCTTTTCCCTAAAAAGGGGAGAAGGGAAGGAGTATGCCCACTTCCTCTGCCCACCATGAAATCCTAGCTGCTTTTGAAGTATTGAGAAGTCATCTTCAATATCCTTATAAAAATTATTGCTATCTTTTGTCTTTCATATTGTCTTCATCTCTAATGAGAGACAGTATGGTGTAGTAGTAGATAGCTGGCTTAAAGAAGGAAGACCTGGGTTCAAGTTCTGTCTCTGATCCATGCTTGTGTGTGACCCTGGGCAAGTCTCATTAACCTGTGTCCCAGGCAACTCTCTTAAAGATGAAAAACTGAAGAGGAGGCACCAGCCTGCTTTGGTAGAGGGAGCCCCCTCACCTGGGGGTTCCTTATACCAATGAAAGTATAGGTCTAGTTTCTATTCCTATCCCGTTCCATTCCCAGAGAGACATCCATTTTTACCAAAGAATAAGAAGAAATGGGGGGTTGGGGGGGAAAGGCAGTGTAGCCAAACTAACCCATCAAGTATATACAATGTTCAACACTCTTAGTCTTTCTTCCTGCCCCCCCACCCCCTGCAAAGAAGGAAAGGAGGTGTATCCTTCAGTAACCCTTTAACAAGCAAATCAGTTTATTGTAGCGCTTGCCTTTTTCTTTTTCCTCTAAGGCTATTGGGCACAACTGTCGTTTTTTTCTCCTACTCCCAGATTGTTTATAGCCTAAGGGGTTTGGTGTAGTGGAATAAGCCCTGGATTAGAGGCCTGAGACTTGGCTTGGGCTCCATTGTGGTGTAACCTTGGGCATACCCCTTAGCTCCTGTGAGCATGTGAGTTTGGGGCTGGGGGTTGATCTGACTCACTGACCTCTAAGGTCCAGGCCATCTCGGACGCTCCTTACCCACACACACTTGGATGAAAGTAAGACCACTGGTGGTGAGCTTGTCAATTTCAATGGCGCCCCCTCTCTGCTCCTTCTAGGATGTCGCAGATTATAAGTCGAAAGGGAAGTTCGATGGGGCAAAGGGGGCGGCTAAAGCTGCCCGGAAAAAGGTAGAGGAGGAAGACGAGGAGGACGAGGAAGACGAGGAGGAGGAGGAGGATGAAGAAGATGACGAATGAAACTGTACCATATTCTGTCTCCATGTGAATACCATAGAGTAGGGGAAACACCTTTAAATGAAACACCTCTCCTTTGTGATGGTGTCGATTGCCCTCATTAGGTTTAATTGGCTTCTGATCACATAGCTTCTCAAACGTGCTTCTAGATAGACATTGTAACTGGTTTACATGAAGTAGCCATGGGTATCTCGGAGCACCCAGAAACTGTATCAAAGCTGTTGTACATAATTCCAAACATTTTTAAAAATGAAAAGGCGTTCTCGTGTTCTCCTCACTCTGTGCACTTTTGTTGTTGGTGTAAAACAAAAGCATTTACAAATGTTAATTCAGGCATTTTTTTTTAATTTGTAAGGTGGTGTTTAACTATATGGTTATTGGCTAGAAAATTCTGGGTTATAAACTGTACATATCTATAGTTTGTAAAAACAACAAAAAATCCCCACACCCCTAGACAGATTCTTGGGGTCCAGGCTTGAAGGGGGCATGAGGTTCGTCTGCCTTTCTTAGGGGGCTGCAACCCAAAGCCTACACTGTGAGGGTAGATTGCAGGTACACTGCATTGGGTGTCCATTTAGCTTAAAAGTTGTCTTTCTGTATATATAGTGAAATAGCACCCAGCTCCCGTTCTTAGGTGTCACAAGGGGGGTGGGGGTCAGCTGGCATGAGAAAAGTGTCTGGATTTTTGGTTTTCTTTTTAGTTGAAGTGCAGTAGTTTTAAATTGAAATTGTAGAGTCCTGCCTTGTATCAGTCAAACAGAAAGCCAGGGCAGTGATGCAAGGAAAGGGAAAAAAAAAAGTGTTCTTAAACACAATTTGGAACGTTTGGGGTTTTTTTTTTTTGTATGTTTAGAATGCTTAAATGTCTTTTGAAGCAAAATAAACAGTATTACACTTTTAAAAACTGTACTTGACACCATTCAAAATTTCTGGGTTTGAAGCAGACTTAACAGCCCAAAACAAAACAGTACTTTGGAAGACCCATAACCCTATGAGTCTGGTAGCGATAGATCAGACATTTCCTAGTTGTCTCATCCCCCACCCCTGTTTAAAAAAATAAAACCAAACCTGAGCATTGATGGAGTTCAAGGGAGTGTCTACTTTAAGCTACTCTGTCATTTATATTGTTGATATATGAGTAGCATTAAGATGGTATGCAAGTCTATGCTTACTTGGATAGGGTAGACGAGTGAAAAAGGGACCATTCCTGGACTCTCCTGCCTGTAAGTTAAAGCTTTCAGAAATATCGAAAAGCAGGCAGTAAGGTTTTAGGCTAATTCCACTGAACAGGTTTTGACTTTTTCCCCCTTCTCTGGTTTAAGTTGGGTATGCATTTGCTATATGTACTAAAATGTGCCTTTTTTAAAAAAAAAAAAAATTTTTTTTTTTTTTTTTTTTTTTTTAGTACTGCTTCAAATTTGCTTTGGGGGTTCCTTCCCACTTCCCCTCCCCTCAGTTTTGGTCTAGTACTCAAGTTTTTGTCCAGAAACTTCTCAGCTCTGCCAAGTCATAGAGGAGGGATGGCATAGCTGAACACTGGGTTCTGGGAGGAAGCTCCAGGTCAGCTACCACTTACAGAAAGGGCAATTATGGCCACTAAGTGAGGGTTGTGGCATGACACCCCCCCCATGTAGGTGGGGGTACTTCAGACTTATGAGGGAGACCCTGCAGCATGTTTGTCCCTCAATTGGAATGTCTTCCCTCTCATTCTCTTCTAATCATTAAAAATATGTAGAAAATCAAAGTTGATTTGGGGGTTAGTTGAGTGGGGAGATGGCCCATATGTACTGAAGTGTTTTGAGAACGGTGATGGACAATGTTAGTGTCTGGAAAGAGGTGGAATTCTTGTGGTTTAGGGCACTATAGTCCAGCAGATGGGGTTAAATTGGAAGTGTTCATCCGATGTGTTCTATTTGTATGGAGGGAACCCTTCTCACGGGAGAGTCTTAAACAACATTTTTAAGCTTTCCAAGGTGTGATCGGGGGTCACTTTTCAGGAAAACTGTAAGTCAGGGCATAGAGGTGTGGCCTGTTTTCTGTGGTCCTGTGTCCCCTGCCCCCCCCCCCCCAGGTCCTTTATTCTGAAATTGGTCAAATGGTCTTTTGTTGATGGTTTTTCCTTTGTGCTGGGGCAGTATTTCCCTATATCCTCAATTCTGGTAAAGGCTTAGGGTTGTTTTGTCTTGTGAACATGAGCCTTTCTGACCAGTGGGGTCACCTGTGGAGCCTCTTTAACAGTTAGAAAACAGTCTGTGTTAAATTCAGATCTCAGGCCATTAAGGGGTTTGGGTGCCAAGTGCATGGTTAGAGGCATATCCTTTAGCCCTCCTTTTTATCTTTGCCAACTCCTCCCTCTTTTTTTTTTTCTTCTCACAGATAATTGAGCTCCAAGGGTTGGCATCTAGGGCTAAAGAAGGCACTAGTCCCTTGTTTCCCCCATGTACCACAGTTCCATTTCCATGCCTGACTTAAACTCATCCCAAGGTACAAGTCTCAGGAGTAGACAAAGTCAAGGGGATAGTGTCCACAGGCAGTCTTTTGGAAATGGGACATGGGGCCTGGGCCAGCTTGGCACAAGGTGTCCTCTCCTGGTGGGCATTTCAACATGTCTCGTTTCACATCTGAGCAGTAGCTAGTTTGAAGGCTAGCCAGGGCCTCTCTGCCTTGCCCTGTGATTTGTGCTTCAGTCTTGTTTACTGAGTATTTGCCTAGGCATCGTGTACCAGCAAGTTCCCCATGTGCCCATTGGGGCTGCAGGGTGAGGAGGCTGGACTAGATGACCCAGCCCTCCCAACTCTGAATCCTTTGATCCTGTTTTTGACTGTTCCCCTTGTCCTTGAGTTGTCATGTTAGGCTGTAAACTACAAGCCTCTTGGGGGGTGTTCAGGGCAGAAGGGTGGCATGCCAGTAAAGGGCATCCGAATGTAACACTCACTTAAGTTGGGTTCATTCCCTCCCCTTTCCCACCCTAGGTTTTGGGAAATCTCACTGTGAACTGGTATTTTAGGAAGCGTGTTGAGGGGTTCTGAAGACCAGCAGGACAATAAATTTAAAAAAGAAGGCAGAACCTGAGTAGTGGCTGTTGGGATGGGGGCTTGCTAATTAGATTTCTTCAAAATTGAAGCTAGTTTAGGCATTAAGGAAAAACATTTGCTTAGCAGAGGAACATTCTTCTATTGCCTGATCCCATTAGGACTGGGGCTGTGTTTTGTAAAGCCTTGATTGGGGGTGGAGCTAGGTCTGATTGTTTTTTGCAATGCCAACCTGTCTATACATACTTCAAACACTTTAGTCTCTACTACTCTTTCCCCATTTTTCTTCTCTCACCTCCTTCCCTTTCTCTTTTTACTTTCCTCTCAATGAGGTCTGATCTTTGGGGGAAAACAAACACTCAAAAAAACCTGGGCTTAATGTAGCAACTGTTGTCAAAGTGTCTCTCCCATGTTTATGTTCTTGTCAAAAAGTGTATCTATCTAGGGACCTTTTTGGATGCATTCATTTTCTGTAATAAAGTTTATTAATCAGTCTTCCCAAAAAGAAATCTGTTTAAGTGAGTGTGCCACGGGGAACACGGGTGGTGGTTTGACAGCCTGGACTTTAGGTACTGACTTACCAGGACTCTGGAATTGGGGGAGAGGGTGATTAATTAAGGTTTTTGAAAAATATGTGACTCAACATAATGAAATGGAAGATGGTACAGTTGAGCAGAGACACAATTGAAAAAGCTAACAGACTTTGAAATCGACTGCTGGCTCAATGAGGGTGCTATCACATGGCCAATTGGAAACAGTGAAGAATGCAGAACCCTTGCTTTAAGAGGGGGTGTGTGTGTGTCCCCGATCAGACTTGCTTTCCTGATGTACTTATGTCACTGAAAGTCAGGGTTTAGGATTCTTCAATGCTCACCCCCCTCAAAAAAGACAGGTGAACTCTGGGGCCTTGGCATTAGATCGAGCTGGGCCGTGGGCAAAAGGGCTAGGTGGGTGGGAAGACTTATGTGTTCTTTGTGTGCACCTCCCCTACCCCAAGGGGAAAACCTTTTTTCCATAGCAGGATTTGAATCCAGGCCTTCCTAACTCCAAGCCAGCTCTTTATCCTCTAACCCATGCTTCCTCTCTAGAATTAGACTTCATTTTGGACTTCTAAAGAGCAAGTTAACTATACCATAAGGCTGGAATTCCATGGGGGCTTTCAGCTTGTCTAGTTCAACCACATTTTTGTATAGAGCAAGGATTTAGAAAAGGGTGGGCTTTGAATGACTGGGGAAGGGGACAGGAGGTAGGACTTTTTCGTGAGAGAGGAGGGGAATGGGATGGGGTCGGGGCAATGGCGGGGAGGGAACCCTCTGTCTATCCATTCCTTCTGTTGAGACAGGCAGGGTTAACTTACATCTGACATGAAGCTCAGTGACCATTCCATGGGAAGTCATACTCAAAAGAACCTAGGGGAAGGAGACCTATACAGGTACTCATCTAATTTTAAAGTTAGACTTTGAACAGTTTCAAACCCTGTTAAACGAAGAGGTAGATAAGGAATAGGATCATAGATGTAGGGTTGGAAAGGATTTCAGAAGTCATTTGGAAAAGGAGGTATATGTAGGAGCCAAGGAGCAGAGGCAGGGAGGGTGAGAAAAGCCAAAAGAAAGCCAAGCTGGTCTGCAGTAAAGTTACTTAACTAGTTTTTTTTGGATTTTGGGCTAATGCTGTTATTAGTTCTTATCAATATCCTTTGAAATACAAACTGAAGAAGCCATTTAGAACCCTTATTATTCCCATTTTACAGCTGAGGAAACTGAGGCAGGCAGAGGTTAAAGACTTTCCCAGGGTCCCACTGCTAGTTAAATGTCTATGGTCAAATTTGAACTGGGGTTTCCTTACTCCAGCAATAACAGATACAATGTACTGAGACTTCCTTAAAGCTCAAATGCTACTTTCCCACTCTGAGAGGTGAAGAGGGAGTGTATTCCAAGAATGGGGAAGAGGGAAGGCACCCAGTGCAAAGGGGTAGAGATGGGAGGTGAGCATGTGAGTCAGTATGGCTGGACCATAGAGGGCATGGATATCTTTGTCCATCAGCAGTGATGTCTATGAGAACTGAGGAGATCACTAAACTAACGGGGAAGAAGAAGCGAGGGTCTAGGACAAAAGTCTTGTCAGGCACCCCTGAAGTTACTGGGCATGACCTGGACGATGATCCAGAAAAGGAGACCAACCAAAAGAAAGCGGTGTCATGGAAACCTAGAGAGAAGAAAGTATCAAGGAGAAGAGGGTGATCAGTAGTGTTATAGGCTATGGAGAATTCAAGTAAGATGAGGTTTGAGTGAGGGCTGTTATGTGGAATATTGTTCTGCTTAGCCCCGGAGGGTAGAACTAGCAGGGATGGGTGGAAGTTACTGTGAGGCTGGTGTAAGGAACAAACTTTCTAACATTGAGAGGACTCCTGGTCAGGTGAAGCTGCCAGAGCTCCCTTCCAGCTCCAGGCTGTGCCAGTTGAAGGCGGGATTGCATTCCTCATCCTGTCTTCTTCCCTGTCCTGCCCATAGCTTGTTTTCTTCCTGCTTGTCATTGCTTGCCTCTGCCTCACTGTCTTTCTTTGTAAAGCCTCATCCTGGTCCTGCTTCAGTTTGGAAGGCCTTTACTTGAAACCATTTCCCCAAAGAAACAAGATTATAAATGGTGGTCAGGTTCCCAGGCACCCACTGAGTCCATAGTGTAGCTCAATGCGAGTAAGTTGATTTACTGACACTTGGCCACCATATACAAGTGATTCTGGTGGGGGAAAACAGCCCCAGATCTGGCTAAGGAGCCTCCCAATGCAGTCCTGACTGCTAGGTCCTCAAACCCAAGGGACAGCATCCAAGGGAGCCATGTTCTTTCTGGATGTAGGGTAGGGATTGGATCCAAGGCTGCAACTTCTATGGGGGAAAAAGGAGGTGGATCCTGGCCTGGGAATCCATTCCAACATAAGAGCTGTTTGTAATTGGGCATTTCAAGTTGAATATAATTTTGAAACATGGCTGGACTTGGCATAAGGAGAGGTGAGCTGCAGTCCCTGTTTGGTACTAACCCACTGTATGATCTAGGACAAATGACATTGCCTCTCTGGGCCTCAGGGTCATCACCTGCAAAATGAGAGTTAGAGAATCAATAGATTTAGGGCTAGAAGGGGCCTCTGAGATGATCTAGGCCAACTCCCTCACCTTACAGCTGAGGAAACATGAAAAGAGAGAGATGACTTGCCCAAGGTCATGTGGGTAATAGATGGTCTCTGTAAAGTCCAATGCGCTCTAGAGATGGTGTAGCTCTTGGCTTTCTGTGATTTTCCTTTTTCTCGGGGGCTGTTACAGCTTCCTGGGTATTTGTGTGGGTTAACTTTGAAGGGAGTGGACTGTTTGCATGTGTGTGGTCCTAAGCCTGGTACAGGGCAACCGTGGGGCAGAATGTTAAGAGGCAGTGGGAGCAGGCAGACAGGTTGAAAAATGGGCCTCACTGGCAAGAACTAGACGTCCCATTCAGCTTGCTGATTGGAGCTGTGAGCACATCACTTTGTTTCTCTGGTCTCCTCTGTATGATCATCATCATCTAGCTGATGGGTATTTAAGGTTTGTAAAGTGCTTTACACAAATAATCTCTCAATCTAGCCTTTTAAAATGGGGGTGGCATCATGTGTTTTCACATCAGGTGGTTGTAAAGAGAAAAAATGAGATGAGATAAAGCACTTTGCAAACCAGAAAACACTAAGCTTGTGTTTTCATACTAGCAATTAAATTTTTCTTTTTTAAAAAAATCCTTGCCAGGTATGGGGGGACTCACACATTGGTAATCTGCAACTGGTGAGGCTGAGGCTAGTGGATCCTTTGAGGAGGAAAGGAATAAATAATGGTATACGGCCTACAGTGCTAGGCTAAGTACTATACAATTATCTCATTTAATCCTCATTAACAAACAGAGGTGCCGCTGTCATGGGGATGTCAGCTGGCCTAATGGAAAGAAGGTTGTATGGGGTGGCCCTGGCCCCTGGAACCCTATTCCTTTATCTTCTTCCTTCACCTTTCGTTTCCTTGATAATGAAAGAAAATTTAAAAAATCCCACCACTAAAAAAAAAAATGGGGAAACTAGGTGGCACAGTGGATAGAGCACCAACCTTGGAGTCAGGAGGACCCGAGTTCAAATGTGGCCTCAAACATTTGACACTAGCTGTGTGACCCCGGGCAAGTCACTTAACCCTGATTGCCTCACCAAAAAGCAAAAAATATCCCCATTTTACAGTTGAGGAAATTGAGGTAGGCAGAGGTTAAGTGACTTGCCCCGGGCCACACAGCTAGTAAGTGTCTCAGGCTGGATTTGAATTCAATTGACCACATTGTATCCATTGTACCACCCAGATGATTGAGCTTGGGGGTTTCTGATTTGCAATAGGATTAAAGCTGCTCAGGTACTCCTGTTAAACCAGCACTAAAATGGTGAGCTCCTGGGAACAGGAGGCCACCAGGCTGTCTAAAGAGGAGCCAACCAACCACAGTGGAAATGGGGCAGGTCCTCCATGCCCTTCCCAAGTAGGGATCGGGCTCCCATGAGTGGCACTTTGAGTTTGGATGAGATATGGAAACCCAGTCTCAAAAGAACCAAAAACCAAATAACCCCCCCACCCCAAACATCCCTGTGAGCTCCCTAGACTCAGGGCTCCAGCATGAGGTCTTGTATAAATCCCCACCTCCTCCCAATATGTAGGTATCTACATACTTATATGTTCTGTTTAGAGAGAACTTTTGGGATATGAACTTACTTTAGGGTTCAAAGAGGCCTCGGAAGCTTAAACAGTATTCTCCTTTATGACATAACTCCAAGTTATCTGGCCCCTGCTTGACCTCTAGGGGAGGGGAATCTACTTGTCTTTCCAGGTGCTCATCCCACTTGGGGACAGCTCTAAATTATTTCCATTGATCTTCCTCTGCCACTTCTTTCTGCTGTTCTCAGTTCTTCCTTCTGAGGCTAAGCAGAACTCAGCCTCAGTTTCCTTATCTGTAAAATGGGGATAATAGCACCTACCTCATGGAGTTGCTAAATTAAATAACATTAAAGCACTTTGCATAACTTGTCACCAAATAAATGCTAATTATTTCATTTGGGCATCTGCCATCATGATCCTCATTTTATAGATGAGTAAAGTGCCGTTAAGTCCCATGCTTGCATTTTAGCCTCTAGTTGCCTGGTAGTGACAAAGGAATGTCTCAATAAGAAAAGCTGATCAATTTGACATGGGGATCCTGAGGGATCAAGTTTCAAGGCATAGCCACAGTAGAATGGAAGGGAAACGTGGAGGTGATCTGGGGCACGGAGGATGTGCATGATGGCTCATGTTCTGCAAGGGAACGGTTACCTAGAGAGTTGTACAAGCATTGATTGAAGTGGCTTCAGGGTGGGACACATTGTCCTGGGTACTTTGGGAGGTACCAAAGCTAAGAGAAGATTTGGCTTTACCTTTATACAGCTTATGGGCAAATGGACTTCAGTTCCAATTCCCAAGAGATTTTGTAAAAG